CAGAACTGCCTTCTTCCACCTGCGTAATATTACTAAAATTGAAAAAATCGTATCTAAAAATGATGCAGAAAAACTGGTTCATGCTGTTATGACGTCTAGACTGGACTATTGCAATGGTTTGTTATCTGAATGTCCAAAAACTTGTTTAAAAAGTCTTCAGTTAATGTAAAATGCTGCTGCCAGAGTTTTAAATGGAATTAATAGGAGAGATCATATCTCTCCAGTTTTAGTTTCTCTCCACTGGCTCAAATTCAGAATAGAATTCAAAATCTTCCTTCTAACCTACAAAGCTCTCAACAACCTAGCTCCATATTATATGACAGATCTTATTGTCCCATATTTTCCTAACAGAGCACTTCGTTCTCAAACTGCAGGCTTACTTGCGGTCCCTAGAGTTTCAAAAAGCAGAATGGGAGGAAGATCGTTCAGTTATCAGGCTCCTTTTTTGTGAAACCAACTTCCAGTTTCTGTCCATGAGGCTGACACATTGTCCAGTTTTAAGACTGGGCTTAAGGCTTTCCTTTTTGATAAATCCTATAATTGGGGGTGGCTTGTCATGCTGCTATAGGCTTAGACTACTAGAGGACAAATTGACCTCATTTCTTAAAATTAATTGTTAAAACTGAATACCAACAGCTTTGTTGGTTTTGAACAAGTTTGACATGACTGTCAACGAGGAAGAAGGCCGGCACCGGAGGAGGGGGCGTGCCAAAGAGACCATCTTAGCACCAACATAACTGGTTTGTTCCACTTTGGAGTAAGCTGTCTGGGGGAAGAATCAGTTTTGTGTTGTGTTTCCTTGACTTGATGAAGCCTTCTGGATGGAAGGTGAAATGTTTCAGCACACAAAAAAAAAGAAACTGTCCAGATGACCTGACTGAAAAATGTTGGATTAAAACTGAATAGTTTTCATTTGATATTATTTCTAACATATGATTCTCAAACTGCCATTGTGTATCTGTTCCTCCTTCCTTTCTCTCCCTCGTTGACATGACTGTCAACGAGAAAGAAGGCCGGCACCGGAGGAAGGGGCGTGCCAAAGAGACCATCTTAGCACCAACATAACTGGTTTGTTCCACTTTGGAGTAAGCTGTCTGGGGGAAGAATCAGTTTTGTGTTGTATCCTGATGCATGCTCAATAATCCAGGTAGAAAAATCTAAAAAAGTTAAATCTGGTCCTCTGGACATTCAAAAAAACAAAACAAAGCAAATCAACAAAAAATGTAGAAACGTTTCGTCTCTCATCCGAGAGACTTCCTCAGTCTGAGGAGCTGTATTCAGCTCAGTCTCTTAAATAGCACCGTCTCAGGGTGGATCAACCAGTTTTGCTGCTGACAACCAAAACCAGCTGATCACATGCTCAAGAAGGACCATCAGCCTAACAATGGATCATTAGCACACTGATGGCTGTTTACTGTTCACAGAGGGCTGAGTGATACTAGCAATCACAGCATTGTAAGAGGGGGACAGTTGAACCCGGAGGCCTCCACCCCTGTTTAATGATGGACGGTTTCTTTTCACAAAGATGGCCTCCTTTACTCCTCTCTCAAACCATCGTTCCTCTCTGTCCAGGATGTGAACATCTTCATCCCTGAAAGAGTGACCGCTGGCCTG